CTCAGAAGCAGACTGAGAAGTAGATGTTGGCCTCCTAGTCTGCCTCACCTGTGCTTTGCCCAGTGGTGGGGTACTGACATACTGCTGCTGCTGAGGCTGCCTTCTACAGGTCAAAAGCAAATCCTGGGGGATGCTGCGTGCCTTCCTTTTCACTGGTGCAAGATAAATAGGCACAGCCAACTGAGCCAAGAGGTGTAACCTAATCTGGTGGCAAACTCAGCAATTAGGCTGATTTAATACTGTAAAAACTCCTGCAAAACCACCCACCCTCTGTAACGTTCACTGCAGGCAGTGCTCCTTTGTGTTGGAGCTGAACCACCCCCACTAAAATCTAGGTGTTACCAGCAGTGCTGCAGGGATTTGACAGTTTGAAATCATATTTCCAGCTTCTGGAGTAGAAATACCTCTTTTCTATTATACAGTGCACTTTCAAAGTATGATAAGTTATCGTTAATAAAATTTACATTTACAGTTTTTCATCTTTTTAGAGTATATAGTATACCTCAGTATATTAAGTCTAGGGTTTTCAAAAGACATTTCAATGTCCTTTGAGTTCTTTGGGATGTTGGATGCTTAAATCCCTCAGGCTCATTTAAAATATATCATCATGTAATATTTCAGCTCAATTTTCTTTGCACATGATTAAAAGATTCTGTGTGCTAGATCCTCAGAAAAAATGGGAAAAGGACCATTTCTATAATTTTACCAATTTAAGGAAAATAAATGAATTAGAATTTCTAAATTAGACTCAGTTAATTTTACTTACATTCCTTTCTTGACAGCCACATGAAACTTTAAGTGCTCTCAGGAAAACAAGATGAAGTGACAGAGGTTTAAGATGTCTGTGAAAACAGCATGTCTGCAATTCTGAAGAATTTGACTCATTTATGAATGGCTAGGTTCATTTTTTGTAGCATACCTGAATGCAGGTTAGCTGCATTTAGATAGCAAGCCACCTTAGAAATGCCTTCAAGGTGCATCAAGTTCTATAAGTGTTTGTTCTTACATCAGGCCGAATCTATGTTTTGCTGAGGTACTCATACCCATTAATATCAAGTAAGCAAGCTGATAACATATTTGGGCTACATGTGTTTTTGTAGTAACAGGAACACATCATTTCCAGCTTCAAAAATAAATACATGATAACCTTATATTGGAGGTTACCTGATGCAGCCTATGACAGCTGGCCATAAGATAACATAGAGAAAATGTTCTTCATGTCAGCATGGTTGTTGGAGATAGGCTCTGCAGAGCAGTGTGTGTCCACATCATGCAGTACTTGGCCCAGAGCCTCCTGTGTCTTCTTTGTGCTCTCTGTTCTCCTACAGCCTGGTGCTCGTAAACACACCAAGGTCTTCAGCCCAGCGAGGACCCTGTGCAGCCCAGTACTGAGAAGTTCCACTGGCACTGGCTTTCATGCAAGAACCCAGAGTGCCTTGGTTGGTGCTGTGCATCTTCCCTATGTCTTATGGTGTCTTTAAGTACCATTACATGTTTTCTTATTCTGAGTACTTAAGAGTCTAGAAAGGGGATATGGACCCAAGTTTTCTCACTTGTGAAGAAGCAAGTGGACTGGCTTGATTAAGGAGTGGGGAGCCATTTTCATTTTTTTACCCCTTGACTCACAAACAATTTTCAGGGCAATAGCTCAGCTTCAGTTTCCCATTCTCCCTTCTTTCTAATCTGGGGGGGAATTGATACTTTTCTAAAAGGACTAATAAAGTTGTTAATCAGATGATTGAGTTTTGCATGGAGGTTTCTGGTTTAAGTCTTTGCAACTGCCTACATGTAATGGAAACTCAGCAGATTATCATACTGGTAGTATCAAGAACCAGCAAGATTTCCAGTCTTTACACCTTTCAGGACTTTTCTAGCTCAGAGTGCTTTTGTTCTGTGCCATTTTGCTGGTAAGAAGCCATACAGATTTGTCATTTTTCCTCTCTGAAGGAAGTGGTGTATCTCATGGTTGAGCCACTGTTTACCACTGAGCATAACCTTGCAGAACCAAGTCTTTTTATTAGTGGCAGATGTTAAGCACTCCTGTCAGAATGCCAGGGTTTATTTGATAGTGGTGATAGTCTGATAACATACCTACCTTGAATAAATCTGGCTTTTTGTTAAACATCCAGTGTCATTTGCATGCTGGAGAAATGTGCTAATTTTTTTTTTTCTTTTTCTGGAGGATGTGATTTGTTGAGAGTGGATGATGACATTTTGATGGGTACTCTGAAATCGACCAGTGGCAGATCTGGGCATGTTTGAAATGTTTATGTTTAGAGGATTAAATAGCTAATAACTAATAAGCATTGATGAGGAAGAAAGAATTAAAAGGCTTGGATACGAGATGATTCTTCATTTTGGAAATGGTGTGTGATGTTATGGGATTGGCTGGTATTGCAGAATCCCTGTGCCATTACAAATTAAAATGGTTTTGAAGTTGTTAAAGTCAGCAGTTCCATATTCATCTTCTGTGTCAGAAAAAGGCTTTTATGTGACAATCAGCTCACTGGGACATTATTAAATCATTTAATCCAGTTGTTTGCTGAGTTCCATGCCCTGATCTCTTATCACCACGAAAGATTATGTATACATCAGAGAAACAATTTTTTGATGAGCGTATTTATTTTGCTTGTAGAGCTCATAATGCTCGTGTTTTGCTTCTACCTTCATTTCCACTTAATCCAAAGAGTTCATTTGAGTAATTGGTTTCCAGTGCCTAGCACAAGGCCAAGCCTACCAGAGCCTTCCCCATGTCCCTGTCCTCTCGGGACTCAAAATCTGTCAAATGCATTTCTGCTTTCTGTGTGCTGGTTTACATGCTTTAGCAAATACAACATGGTTGTATCAGCACAATGTATTCATCCTTGGCTTCTGTTTGACACTTCCATTTGCAAAATTGCTACAGCTGGAGTTGTGAGCAAATGATTTCTTTATTATTCATAAGCAGCAGGTGCTGCAACAGCCTTTTGGCTAGAGTTGTACTCTCTTGGTCCATGGTTTCTATATATTTGATTAGATGGTGTCGTGCTGCTCAGATGGGATGCTAGTACTTCAATAAACGTATTTTGTTACACAATCGGCTATATAGTGCATTATCATTATTATTTCCATAAATCACTTTTAGTTGACAGCTTTCTGTTGCCACTTGGGATTTTTCCAGCAATAATTTGCATCTTTTTTGTCTGGTGTCTTAAAAGTATTTGGAAGTTAATATAGTGTGGACTTGATTTTACAATAACTGGTGCCCTCATGGTTAAGCTAGAACACATCAAGCAGCTATCCAAGCAGGACTGACATATTTATCTTGATTCATATATCATTTATGTCTTCAAGAAATGTTCTTCCCAAGATCCAGTACAGCAGTTTTAGCACCCGCCTGCAGTGTGTGCATGCCAGTGTCATGGTGCTAAAAATCAGGTGCCTGTCCCCAGCAGAATGGTGGAGAGCAGTGCAGCTCATTGCATGGTGGAAGGGCCAAATGATGTTTCTGTGAAAGGTGGCCCCTAGCACACATCTGGGGCATTTGCCTCAACCTCTCCCATCAGCCCAGCGTGTGTCCAAATTGCACCCTACTCTAGGGAACCTGCTGCAGCAGGGGGTGGGACTAGATGATCTCCAGAGGTCCTTTCCAACCACTGTGTTCTGAAAATTCCCACTCCTCTAAGAAAGTGAGTTGCTTCTGCTACAGCCTCTCCTGAGGGCTTGGCGCTCACATTCATATGCAATTCTGCTTGAGGAAGTGTTGGCTTACAGTGCTGTAGTCCTGCTTTAGCTCTGCACAATGGGCAGAGGTGACTTGAGCCAAAAAGCCCATGCATTCTTTCTGAGCTATAGAAGATCTAGAGGAAGAGGAATCTGAAAAGAAGCCTGGGTCAGACTCAGCTACTGGTGATTTATGGCCTGGAAGTGACCACCTCACATGGCCCCTGTGGGCTAAAGGCAAACCAACTTCAGCTGTGTCTCCAACAGACCTTCATACTGAGTAAGGGGCTTGTTTTACAGTGAGATTGCCTTGCAGAAAGGACAGCAACTATAGACTGCTCTACCTATCCCAGCTGTGCTTTCCCTGCTACTTAACAGAAATGCTCAAGCAATATTCTTCTGTGCTCAGAGTAGGAATTTTCCAATATCTCAGTAAAGATTTTCACTAAATAAAAGGTAAACAAAAAGCATGTTTGTATGGATAGATATTTACTGTATGGATAACAGAGCAGTCAGTTCATCTGACAGACACATGCAGATGGCTGTCCATATGGGGACGAGCCCATAGCAGGCACTGGCAGTGTGTCAGTGCAGGCAGAGGAGCGGCTGCTGTTTGGACTGGAGGCAGGCTGGGCAGCTCCCACCTATGAGCTCACTGCTATCTGGAAGAATCAGCTCAGCCTTCACTTTGTTCAAAGATTGGGCTAGTTTCATTTGCAGGCTGTGTTGCTCAGAGCTGTTAGAACTATAACATGAAGGGAGAGTGGGTGATGCACATTTAATTGCTGGTTTGAAGTGAGAATAACCTCCTGATTTGGGCATGGAAGGCTGTTAAAGAGAAAAGTAATGGACCAAGAGGTGCATCCAAGGATGACATTAATGGGACTGCTTCCATTTAAATGGCAAATGGTACCTGGAGCGGGGTGATGAAAAATATGAAGAACACAATTTTGAAAGTCATTTTGGCCACATCCCTCAGACAAAAGGATCAGGATGACCAGGAGATGAGCAAGCAGGCTCTGGTGTGCTGAGTCACGTGTGTTCCTGTTCTGCATGTTCTGCTCGTGTGAAGGACAGCTCTGAACTCACTGCCTCCACTGACAGCAACCCAGCCTGGGAGCACCAGGCTGACCTTAGCAAGTCAACTTAGATGTTCCCTGTGACTTTTTGTGATGAACTCTGAATCTGATGAACTTCGTAAGGTGGTGACAATTCTTAACACATGCATGTATTGTCATCCTGAAACATGCGACCTATTTGAAGGAAATTATTAAACAAAAAATATCTTTTTCTTGCAGGTGCTGTTTCAGAAGCTGTCTAAGGAGAAAGCAGGTAAGACATGGCATTACTTCTTCAGTATTACTTGGTGACTCATGCAGATGTATGCATTGATGGAAAACCTACGAGAATTGCTGATGTTCCAAGTTTTATTTATTTTGTGCACTTGCCATGATTACTTTCATGCCTTCAGTCATGAAGAAGACTTACTTGGTTCTTAGGAAAGCTGATAATTCAGCAACCTTGAGTTTACACCTTGAAACATCAGCTCTGTGTTAACAAGGGTAACACAAAGTATTTGTTCCCAGTGTCAGGGAGAAGCAAGGCACTGAAAGGCTTGTGGTGTGCTGATGTATGTGAGTGAATCCTCTTTAGAAGAGGCTGGTGGTAGGCTCCCTCTGCAAAATCATATAAAATGTAAATGCAGATAATGTAAGCGCTGTTCCAGCCTTGCCCCCAGTGGCAGAGTCATGATGCATCCATCATTCACCAGCATGAGCTTACTTGCAGTCGATGGGATTGGCAATATTAACAGCATTGGAATGTTTGACTGATATGGGAAAATGATTTATTTACAGCTGACATCCTGCAGGGTACTGGGATCAGAGCAATTGGCAGAGTTATAAAAATTGATACGCAGACCTCCACTTGTGTTAGCAGGCCAGGAGCTAAGGAAAGGTTTGGGTAGGCAGCAATGTTCACAGAAGTCCTGATTCAGCAAGCTACTTAACACGCAATTAAGCCTGCATTTGACAAATCCAATTCATTGCAGGGGAGAGTAAGCAACTGCTTGAATGATTTGCTCAATTGAGGGTAAATGTCCTTATTAAGTTGAAATAAGCACAATTAGGAACTATAAAGAAAAGAAAATGCTTCCCAAAATGTGAGATTACTGAAAGTTAATAACAGCCCCACAGCCCTGCAAGAAGAAATGTCCCTAAACTCTAAGGAAATCCTCATTCCCACAGAAGCTTTTGCCAGCTAGCACTACTTAAATAAATCACAAAACAGCTGACCTCTGGAGCTCCCCATTTCCTACTTCTTTTTCTGTCTCATTAGTCAATGTGTATGCAGTGTGTGTCAATTAAAATGAAAGCAATTGGACATCTTTGTTGTAATTATCCATCTGTCCCCAGATGACTTAGCAAAGCCAGTTTGCTAACTCAGTGATTTCTCTTTGCTCAAAGCAGCACTTGCTGCTGCTCCGAATGGCACCCTCAGCTCTTTCCAAGGCCAGCACAGCCCTGTTAGGAGCAGAACGAGTCCCTTTGCTGCCAGCTTTGCCAATGCAGGGGCTGTGCTACCAGGAGTCCTGGCCTAGAAACTCAGCAAGAACACAGGCAACACTGTGTTCAGGTACTTCACATAGGTCAGTACATACATGGAGGCTGCTGAACATAGTATAGGTTTAAATATTTCCTTTCAAGTGCTGTGCACAGTGATTTTTTTCTGCTTCATAGGGTATATGAGTACTTGTTCCGTGATGACATTTGCCAGTGGAAAATATGCCTGTGCTTTTCCAAAGCTAAGCAAATTCCATCAATTTTGAGATTGATTTAGCAATTTTTAATTGTTTGCATTGCCTGGACCAAAACCTCTTTGTGACAAAGAAAGATGATTATGTTAACAGCGCTCCTGTTTTTGACTGTGATAAATACTTGAATTGTTTTGTGATAACATAAATTTGGTCACTGAAGAAGAGATGAAGATTAGCACCCATCCAGCAGCTAGAAGGTGATAGCTGAAAATTTGATAAAAATTGATAGCTGCCAGCATGAAAGAAGAATGTCAGGTAACTGGTTTGGTTTGGTCACAGAGGTTGAACTTTACTCACAGAAATTGAGCTGGTAATGAACTTATCAATTAAAACACTTTGGGCAGAAAATGCCAATTCCTTCAAACTGAAGCACTTTGCAGGAAAGGTTTGCATTTGTGAGTTCTTTTTTGCAGCCGTTTCTGTATAATAAGTGTGCACTTCTTGACATGGGATCTTGGAACAGTGTTCAGAGGCAGAGGTTTGATTTCTTTTTTTTTTAACTATGAAAAATCTGGGCTTTGAAATATGAGTTATGTTAAAGCAAGGCATGATTTAGGTTACAGCCAAGATATTATTTAAATTACCAAATTGGCAAAAATTATGTCTAAGACTGAGGAAGAGAGTTCCTTTCAGCTCAGCAGTTCACAAATTTCTGATACATTCTCTGCCTTCTGGCTTTTTTTCTGATTCAGAATTTCCCATGTGAGAAGAAACCCCTTCCTGCCTGTATCTGCCATGTGTAGAATGCAGAACTCTCCTCCTTAAGCTCAATTATTTTTTGCACCACATTTAGACTGCTGTCATTCTCTCTCATTTGGTTTGGTTTTTTTTTTCCTTTGAGCAAATAAATGCAACATTTTATGCTTCCATTTCCTCAGTTTTTAGTGTGTGTCTGCCTGTGTGCCTGTGTATTAACCAGAATGCTTGGATCTCCTTCAGATAGGCTTGCCATTAGGCTGCAGTTTAGCAAGCTGTCTGATCTGCTTGGAAGTAGGAGACAGCCTACTACCTGTACTCCTTGTACATGGCGACAGGAATGTTAAGTTTTACAAATAAATAAAAAATATCCTGTTCTATGGTTTTAGCAAGACCTTTTAAAATGCTGGATTAATTCACTCAACCCCGCCAGAGTGAACATGGCTCTCTTGATGCTGAAGTTTTTATTCTAACCACTGTCACATACATGCTGTCATTGATGAGCGTTGCCCTTAATAGGACTGCCCCACTTCCATCACTGTGCAGTATAGCACTCTGTCCCAGTTGTCATTGCCAATGGTTTTCTTCTCATACTTCCAGGCCCATAACACCTGGCACAGGGCAGTCCTTTACCACTGTCTCCTGGCCCCATTCTAGATTTGTTACTCAGGTTCTTTAATTGCCTGCTGTGGTGCTGTGGAGAGCACCTCGGTGAGCTGCTCCTCTTGTCATAAGATTGCTGAAGAAATGTTGTTTTTAGCCTATGAAACCTGACTGGCTGATGGTATGCATTCTTACCCTCTCCTGTTATACCTCTTAGTAAAAATTATTCAGCTTGAGCATTCTGGCTGCCTGGTATATTTTAAAGTTAGCACTACATAGCTCAAGATGACCAACACAGAGCACGCTTCATCACTGGTAGGGAAAATGAGCTTTTACTTTGCTAACAAAAATTTGAAGTCAGATTAAAAGCTGAAACATCCTGTACTTCAGTGATATGTATGAAGCACTAAATATAGCAGCGTGCTGGTGTATTTGCTGATGCATGGTAATGTAGTCTCTAGCAGAGCAGCAATGGGCTGGCAGGGAAGATGGTGCACTGCAGTAATATGATAAAGTCCTCAGGTGACCTTGGCCCCCAGGTATCCTTGATTGATGTGTTATGAAATTCAGATGAAGGCAGATGTGGTTCCAGGGCTTAACAAATAGCTTGATCCTGCATTATTTGTTTAGGCACAATGCTAATGGACTTCAAGAAGAGATCTCCTTTACTTGAGAAACTAAAACTGACCTATACAGCAGCTGAATGACCACTGCCCACAAAAGGCCTGATTCTAGGAGCTGAGAGGAAACTGCAACTCCGTCTGATCTTTGCTAGATGCTGCATGTCTCACCAGGTCAAACCCAACCAGTGTTTCCTAGTGACTGCGTGTTTTTTTGTTTCCTTACAAACTTACGTTGATGTTTATATTTTACCCATGCTACATTCCCCGGGCAGGAGATACAGGTTGACTGCAGCAAGGAAGACTGAACAGGAAAATGGATATGGCTCACAGAACCATCCTCTGTTCTGGGGTTTTCTTCTTGCTCTTGTGGCAATGGAGAAGGTGGTTGGTCTCTTTGAGCCCTTTACCTGATATGGAAGCCTGCAGTTGCTGGAGGTGGAGCTGAGGTTATATCCATGAGCTTCCCTGTCCTACCCTCAGCACAAGAGAGCAACAGTGGGGTTGGACACTGCATTTCCTCCTAGGCTGAGACAGTACTTGTGACTTATGCTACTGTTATTCCAAATACATAAGTTTACCCAAGATGAAATTCTGGTGTTACAAACCAGGGAAAATAAAACCTTATCATCCAAAGCTCCTGTGCATTTACTAGAAAGGTGAATGGGGTCACTTGGATGTGTTTCCAACATGAAAACAAGATGCTTACTTTGGCTTGAAAAATTATCAGGCTCTTCTCCCCACAGTAGTATAGTGAAAATTAGTTAGTGAATAGGCCACCATATGTTCAGTGGCCTTGGCCTGTTGAATAGCTACAGTCTGTATGGCTCAATTTAGAAGCAAGTAACTTGGTCCCTCTGCTTCCAGTGCATGAGAGGGTCCTTTCCTTTGGCTTCTGTTCAATTCCTGTGCATCTGTTCCATTTGGCTCCTAATATTAAGCAGTAAGATTGGCTCTTCCTGCCTTTATGTTCCTTTTGGAATCAATAATGACAGAACAAACTCCTTGCTTCTTCTGAATAGGAAAATCTTTGCTTTCCAGCTCCTCCTGTTGTACTGAGGCACTGAAGGCAAACTGTGGTCTTCAGCTCTTGCAGTGGTAAATGAGTAAAATAATAACCCTTTATACATATTTCAGGATACTACAATTTCTAAAAAAAATAATAAAACTGTTTACTGTTTTACTATGTGAGCTTTACATAAAATTTTGAACTGTTAAGAAATACTTTGAATCTTACATTGGAAACTTCACCAACAAAACAAAAAAAGTAATGTATAGACATTTTATACACATAATGATACTCAGTGCCTTTCTAAATATCTTCCTCCATTTCCCTATTCAACATCTCTTTCTGTAGCTTAGATTTTTTGTCAATATTTGTAATAAAGAAAAGAAAAATATTTGAAAGACTACAGCTGGTAAATCTTAAAAATCATATATCTTCTGTCATTGAAAATGTGTAGTGAAATAGACTTAATAAGTGCAAAAAGTGTCAGAATGAAGATATTATTAACAGCTTTCCTACTTTAACTCATTTTTCTTTACACCTTGGACTGCTGAAGAGTTGAACACTAAGCTGATAGATGGATTCGGGTTTG